CCTGGACTGTCTGGGTGAAAACTGGGCAAGTGGTAGCACCAATGACAATATTTCTCAAATCATGTCTGTAATACCAAATATTCAAAATAAATTAATCCAAACAATCGCTGTAATTAATTGGGCTAATATTATGCTATAATTAATAACTAGAAACTAAGTAATTTGGTACTGGAGGTAATGTTAGGTGTCATCTCTTATCTAACTTAATTATAATAATTTTATTAAATTATTAAATAATTTAGAACATTCTGGAAAAGAAGAATAAGCCTGTTGTGAGACTTGAACCCACAACCTCTGCTCCACTCTTATTAAATACATCTGGAAGTGAAGACTTGCTCAAGGTCCAGATCATGTAACTGGCAAGCACACTGCCCAGTAAGCAAAGGTTGCGGGTTCAAGTCCTGCTCCAGTCTCGTTCTTTTCTTCCAGAATGTTCTAAATTATTTAATAAATTATTATAATTATTAAGTTAGATAAAAGATGGCACCTAACATCTACTTCCAGTATCAAATTGCTTTTAGTTTCTAATTATTAATTAGAGCATAATAATAATTAAATAAATTATATTGATTGTTTGGCTTAGTATCAATACTTTGGGATGTTGATATTTAATCAAAATAAATTATGTTACTATTGAAAAGTATACAAAATATTAATGTTAATTAATTTCCAAAATTAAAAACAATAACTATAAAATTTATTGTAAGGATATCATTGTATATATAGAAACCACCAATAACAATTATAGAAACCATCTTTTCTTCCAAAGTTTTCAAATTTTCTATTATAAATATTTAGATTTATTTTCCAAACCACAATAACAGCATATTGTCTGTTAAATGTTGTTTCTATAAATTTTTAAATTATATAATAATACACCATTAGCTATTTTGCTTCTCTCTTAGTTCTTATTTTAACAATTTGATATTCTTCATTAAATGTCTATTTCTAATTTTAATAATGTTTTCTTTTTTATCACCTGTTCAATATTTTAATATTCATTTCCAAACTGATATGACTGTCACTCTTAAGTATCTTGCTCCCATTCTTTTATTATTGTTCTTTATTTGAACTATATACAGGGTGTTCATAAAGTCTGTACAATTTACTGTAAAACATTTATAACTTTATTAGTATTTGTGATAGAAAAATTATGTAGAATGTATTGGAAATAAGATAATCTATATTTTTTTATTGTTTTATTGTATTTTATTAAGTTTTCACATGACCATCATCATTAGTAATACAAAGGGTAATATGATTTTATTGTTCTCTAAAAACATTTGCCAATTGATTTACAGTAATGCCTGAAATCACATTAGTTATTTTAACTTTCAAGTCTTCTAATGTTGCGGTTTGGTTACATAGACTATTGTTTTCACATGTCCCCATAAAAAAAAATCTAATGGCATCAATTCTGAAATAAAAGTATTTTTAAAGTTTCAAAACATTGTTAAATTATTGTGTTGAAAGTTACTAAATCATTTTACTTAAAACTAGGTACATTAACCACTCAGCAGTGAAAAACGGATATATCTGCCCAGGGCGATCATACGGCAGTGGTGAAGTATGGATATATCCGTTAAATTCTTTTGGGGGTATCACCAAAAACTCCCCGAAAAAAATTCACCTAGAAAATGAATTATGTAACAATAAAAAAAGACTATTCTCTACTAGACATAACTGTTCACAAAATCTTTTTCTGAAACGGTAATGAAAAAAAAACATGCAAAGAAATACTTTAAAAATTTCCCACATTTATTCTCCACTATTGGGGGTAGAACCATACCTGACTAGTCCACAGTTGAAAGGTTAAACTTTCTAATGCTTTATTAGTATTTATGATAGAAAAAAATCTGTAAAAAGTTATACATTTTTTAAATTGCACACAGACTTTATGGACACCTTGTATGTGCCATTTTTCTTTAACATATTAGGTTGTTCAGAAAATAATTTCATTTTTTTCATTAAAAAAACAATTTTCTTATAATATATAAATATTTTATCAAATTATATATTGACCATTTTGGTCNTGGAGGTAATGTTAGGTGTCATCTCTTATCTAACTTAATTATAATAATTTTATTAAATTATTAAATAATTTAGAACATTCTGGAAAAGAAGAATAAGCCTGTTGTGAGACTTGAACCCACAACCTCTGCTCCACTCTTATTAAATACATCTGGAAGTGAAGACTTGCTCAAGGTCCAGATCATGTAACTGGCAAGCACACTGCCCAGTAAGCAAAGGTTGCGGGTTCAAGTCCTGCTCCAGTCTCGTTCTTTTCTTCCAGAATGTTCTAAATTATTTAATAAATTATTATAATTATTAAGTTAGATAAAAGATGGCACCTAACATCTACTTCCAGTATCAAATTGCTTTTAGTTTCTAATTATTAATTAGAGCATAATAATAATTAAATAAATTATATTGATTGTTTGGCTTAGTATCAATACTTTGGGATGTTGATATTTAATCAAAATAAATTATGTTACTATTGAAAAGTATACAAAATATTAATGTTAATTAATTTCCAAAATTAAAAACAATAACTATAAAATTTATTGTAAGGATATCATTGTATATATAGAAACCACCAATAACAATTATAGAAACCATCTTTTCTTCCAAAGTTTTCAAATTTTCTATTATAAATATTTAGATTTATTTTCCAAACCACAATAACAGCATATTGTCTGTTAAATGTTGTTTCTATAAATTTTTAAATTATATAATAATACACCATTAGCTATTTTGCTTCTCTCTTAGTTCTTATTTTAACAATTTGATATTCTTCATTAAATGTCTATTTCTAATTTTAATAATGTTTTCTTTTTTATCACCTGTTCAATATTTTAATATTCATTTCCAAACTGATATGACTGTCACTCTTAAGTATCTTGCTCCCATTCTTTTATTATTGTTCTTTATTTGAACTATATACAGGGTGTTCATAAAGTCTGTACAATTTACTGTAAAACATTTATAACTTTATTAGTATTTGTGATAGAAAAATTATGTAGAATGTATTGGAAATAAGATAATCTATATTTTTTTATTGTTTTATTGTATTTTATTAAGTTTTCACATGACCATCATCATTAGTAATACAAAGGGTAATATGATTTTATTGTTCTCTAAAAACATTTGCCAATTGATTTACAGTAATGCCTGAAATCACATTAGTTATTTTAACTTTCAAGTCTTCTAATGTTGCGGTTTGGTTACATAGACTATTGTTTTCACATGTCCCCATAAAAAAAAATCTAATGGCATCAATTCTGAAATAAAAGTATTTTTAAAGTTTCAAAACATTGTTAAATTATTGTGTTGAAAGTTACTAAATCATTTTACTTAAAACTAGGTACATTAACCACTCAGCAGTGAAAAACGGATATATCTGCCCAGGGCGATCATACGGCAGTGGTGAAGTATGGATATATCCGTTAAATTCTTTTGGGGGTATCACCAAAAACTCCCCGAAAAAAATTCACCTAGAAAATGAATTATGTAACAATAAAAAAAGACTATTCTCTACTAGACATAACTGTTCACAAAATCTTTTTCTGAAACGGTAATGAAAAAAAAACATGCAAAGAAATACTTTAAAAATTTCCCACATTTATTCTCCACTATTGGGGGTAGAACCATACCTGACTAGTCCACAGTTGAAAGGTTAAACTTTCTAATGCTTTATTAGTATTTATGATAGAAAAAAATCTGTAAAAAGTTATACATTTTTTAAATTGCACACAGACTTTATGGACACCTTGTATGTGCCATTTTTCTTTAACATATTAGGTTGTTCAGAAAATAATTTCATTTTTTTCATTAAAAAAACAATTTTCTTATAATATATAAATATTTTATCAAATTATATATTGACCATTTTGGTCCAATATCTTTTGCCATCTTTCAGGTAGTAGCATGATTCCACATTCATAAAAGTTCTAATCTTTGCTTACAAAAAAACTGATTCAAGTGATTTTTGGCATTCTCATTTGAAGTAAATGTTTTACTATTTAAAAAATTTTGTAAAGATCGGAACAAGTAATAATCCAAAGGTGCCAGATCCGGTGAATATGGTGGGTGTGATAGCACATTCCATCCAAGCTGTAACAGCTTCTGATGAGTTACCAAACTAGTGTGAGGTCTGGCATTATCATGGTGAAATACTACACCTTTTCTGTTGATCAATTCTGGCCTTTTCTGTTTGATGATATCAGTCAATTTGTCCAGTTGATTCAGAAGTATACTGCCATCAAGCAGTACACTTCTAAATCAATTAAACAAAAAAACAAAAAAATGCAAAGAAGCAAACAAAATTTTTTACAAATAAGCTTTAAAATGTCAGTTGTCAAAATACATAATGACAATACAATTATACCATCTCTCTACACACCGGTGTTTAAATAAAATAAAATACTCCTCAAACCTTTAACCAGAGTGCTTCTATTTTTAGAATTGCAAACGTTTTCGTCGCCCCTACTGGGCTCTTCTTCAGGCTATAACGAGTGGGCCTTTAATATTCAAATAAACATTCGATATGAATCTATTTTGAATTCTATCACTTGAAATTGTTCCGAAGTTGTGTTGCGCATGCTCCATACTCATCCCTTTAAATGCTGTTATCTATCAAAATCTCTTCCGAATTCTATCTTTGTATTGTGCATGCTCCATACTCATCTCTTAAAATGCTGTTATCCAGCAAAATCTGCCATGCTATCGATAGGGCCATTTCCTCTTTATAATTATAATTAATTAATTTATTACAATACACGTGCCATTTCTTCCCGCCTTAAATATCTCTATGGCCTCTAGCCATTTTAGTTGTTGTGGGTTGGAGTTGGTTTTAATGATTTTTGCAGCGCGCAGGTCCGCCGTTATTTCCTGTTTTGAAGCGTATGTTGCCAGGGCCGTTGTGTATCTATCGTGCTGTATATCTGACTCATGTTCTTTTAACCTCACTTTTAACGAACGCTTCGTGGAACCAATATATGTCAGTTGTCTACATATCTTTTGTCTTCTAGCAGTACTGCGTATACTCCTGGGAATCTTTCAGGGTTTGGCCGGTCTTTGCCATTAGTTAGTATCCTGAAGACAGTTTGACACCTTCTGTATGCTATATTTATGTCTCTTCTTTTGGCTATCATGTTGTAGACTGATTTCAGTATCGGATTATATGTTATAGGTATCCTCTCTTTTTCTTGATCAGGTATATTCAACAGTGACCCTGCCTGATCAATGGCTCTTTGGGAAATGTCATACCTTTTAGATAAATTTTTGACTACAGTGTTGTTGTATCCATGAGCAACAGCAATATCCCCTATATGTTGGAGTTCCGTTGTTAGAGCTTGTTGCGTCGAGGAGTGCGTGTGTGCTCTTCTCACTAATGCTCTGAAAGTGGCGATTTTGTATGAGATAGGGTCGCACAAACTTCTTGGAATATATGTTGGGAAGGTCCTAGGTTTTCGATATACAGATGTAAGTATGTTAGCTCCCCTGAAGTTGATATCAATGTCCAAGAAATGCACCCTCAAAGAGTCATGCTGTTCTACTTCTAATGATAGCCCATATGGATTGTTATTCATGTCTTCTAGGAAGAGTTTTATGTCTGGTTCCACCTTCCAAAATATAACGATGTCGTCAATATATCGTTTATATAACAAGATATTGTGCAAAAAACGTGGTAGGATGTACAGCACGATAGATACACAACGACCCTGGCAACATACGCTTCAAAACAGGAAATAACGGCGGACCTGCGCGCTGCAAAAATCATTAAAATCAACTCCAACCCACAACAACTAAAATGGCTAGAGGCCATAGAGATATTTAAGGCAGGAAGAAACGGCACGTGTATTAATTATAAAGAGGAAATGGCCCTATCGATAGCATGGCAGATTTTGCTAAATAACAGCATTTAAAGAGATGAGTATGGAGCATGCGCAATACAAAGATAGAATTCGGAAGAGATTTTGATAGATAACAGCGTTTAAAGGGATGAGTATGGAGCATGCGCAACACAATTTCGGAACGATTTCAAATGACAGCATTCGAAAGAGATTCATATCGAATGTTTATTTGAATATTAAAGGCCCACTCGTTATAGCCTGAAGAAGAGCCCAGGAGGGGCGACGAAAACGTTCGCAATTCTAAAAATAGAAGCACACTGGTTAAAGGTTTGAGGAGACAATAGAATTTAGAATGAAACTGTCAGATAAAAATACAACTGATCCCTCTGGTGGTAAGAAACCAAAATTACTTTCTGAGCAACCCAATATATGACTTTTTTTTGTTATTTTTGAAAAACAAGAAAAAAGAAAGAATTGAGGAATTTTCTTTATAAATTAATTTTTCTATCTTATTTTATGTTTAGATTATTACAATGTATTAATGTTCTCATTTCTAAAGCCCGAGAAACTATTTTCACAGTGTTTATATAACAATTCTTTAACTTTTTATGCTTTATTCACTTACCATATGTTGATATTATATATTTACAGTAACTAGAAAAATACCCTCTTCAAGTCAACTTTTGCAAATTTAAAATTATTCTGATTTATACAAAGTTAAGCAGAATTCTTTAAGTAAACAATTACAGTCAATTCCATTTAATTAGGCCACTGGTTAATTGGGGCAGCCACTTTTTCAGAAAAATCTCAAACAGGAGATACCAAACTAATAAACTAATACATAATTTAAATGCTTAATTGGAACAGTAGCAAAAAAGGAATTTAGCAATTTTAGATATATTTTAGGAATTTTTCAAAAATGTGTCAACACTACATACATTAATATGTGGTAACCCTAGTGTGATATGAATCAGTTATCTATCGCAGTGGGTCTAGCATCTAAAGTTACTAAAGTTTTGTATCTAGCAATATTCACTTACAGTGTCAATTTTATTTAAAATTTTTAAATCTTTGCCAAGATACCAAGAAATGATTTTACACTTTCAAGTAAAATTACTTTGCTGGATAAAATTAAAAGCCAACCATTGAATATAAGTCATCATAGACTCGATGATATAACTGGTGTACCAAAATCTACCACTGCGCATCTCCTACAACAAGAAAATCAATTGCGTGAAGAGTGGGCATTACAGAAAAAAATTCCAGGAGCATCCAAAAGAGAGCATGATGGAAAGAATCCAGAAATCAAAAAAGCATTAAATCAATGGTTTTCTATAGTTAATTGTGAAGTGTGAATATCAGTGGCCCAGTGTTAAAGGTGAAGCCAGAGGAGATTGCTAAAAAGCTGAGCCACAATGATTTTAAAGCAACTGATAGTTGGTTGTCTTGATGGAAAGCAAAACACAATATCAAATATGAACAAGTGCATGGCAAAAAGAGCAGTGAAGATAATTAAATGCTGAACAATGGCAAAGAACTAAAATCCCTACATTTTAGAGAATTTCTGTTCAGATGATATTTACAATGCTGATGAAACTGGCCTCTATTATCATGCTATGCCAGACAGCTACTTGTGTTATAAGCACATTACACTTTCACTATAAAAGGGCAATGAACTGCATTACTGTGTTATGCTGAGCAAATATATACTAAAAAGTCAGATACTGAAAAAAGAAAACTACTAATCATAAGAAAAAATGCTAAGCCTCAATGATTTAAGTGGTTAATTCCTTTAAACCTTTATTAAAATTTCATTTTATTGGAGTTTTACTTAATTTTTAATGAAAGATGAAGAAAAAAAGATCATCATGTGAGAACAAGATTTAGAAACAACAATAAAACTAAGGTAAACATAAAAAGAAGATAAAAAATTGTAGTGAATAATGAATAAAAGATTCCACAAAAGTAAAAGTAAAATATAAAAAATGCTTTACTGGAAAATAAAATAATTCAAATTTGAGGAATTTTGGACTTTTGTTTCATCTTTTACTTCTTTAACATTGCAAGTGTTGGACTGCAATTTGAAAAATTTTTAGACCTATAAATTCCCACTGTCATCCATCTGTCTCAAGAACAGTGTTAGATAAAAGATGGTAACTATAGAGCCATGGTTCCCAATTAGTGTACGCATACCCCTGGGGGTACATGAAATTGCATAAAGGGGTATGCGTGGCAATCTAAAATCGGTCGATTTAAAATTTAAATGCATGAGATGAAGCAATGAAAAGAATAATGGGTGGATCATCAAAAATTCGGCAATTTACAACATAAAGTCGAATGCAGAAATTTGTTTATTTATAACTAAAAATATTCTCGAAATTTCATCAAAAAAATGCATTTGTGACAATACCTAAATGAAATTCTTATGCAATAAACAAAAATTATACAATTATCATTATTATCATGTCAGCGAAGTGGCAATAAAATATTTACTACCATTTTGCACAACGTACCTCTGCGAGAGCGGATTTTCGGCCACGACAAACATGAAAACTAAACATCGTCACCGACTTCAACTTGAAGATGACTTGAGAGAGACTGAAGCTGACCAAAAAGCAACCAGATTTTACAAAGTTGTGCAAAGAAAATTGTGCACATTTTTCACATTAAAATTAAATAACCTTATGTTATTTTCATTACTATTAGAATTGTATTTTAAAGGTAATAAATGTAAAAAAAAAAACTTATTCTATTTATCACTAGCTGTCTACCCACAGCTTTGTCCGCATTATATCAAATTTACTCGTGGGAGTAAGATATTTTCTTGCAGTAAAATGTAGCCTATGTCCATCTCCAACATGTAAGCTATCTCTGTGCCAAATTTTATTAAAACCTGTTCAGCGATTTAGATGTGAAAAGGTGACAGAGAATTACCTTCGAATTTATAATATTAGTATGGATTAATATGAATTTCTGCTATAAGAGGTACATGAGTTTAAGCTCTTTCTTGAAGTGGTACGCAGGAAAAACTAATTGGGAACCACTGCTATAGAGAGATCTAATTGTTTGGTTTTGAGCAATTTCTATCCTGTGGGCACTAAGAGGAACTTTTTTTCCAAGTTTATAATAAGTTCAGCTATACAATAAAGAACAGAGATCAACTTATCCAAAACAGACAGACAATGAAAAATTCTTGAAGTTCCTAGTTGTAACTCAACCCAGATCTCTAGAGCAAATACTGACATCTTGTATTCTAATACAGTAGAGCGTCATTTATCTGAAAGCCGGTTAACCAAAATGTCAGTTAACTGAAAGCATTCCAGTTGGCAAATTTAAATTTCTGCTAGTGCTATGGCACTGCAACCTTTGGTTATGTCTTGGGCTACTCCAATATTTTTTTTGTTGGTATGTGTATTTTAGCTGGTAGCACTGGCACTTTTGTGCAGTGTTTTTCTGAATACTGTGTGTCGTGCTGAAATGAATGTTTTTTGATACTAAATTAACTTCTAAAGTATAATTTTTTATTTTTATTTTTTAATATATTTATTTTGTTTGTACAAAATAAAAAAATAATTTTTAACGATACAATAGCCACGATTATTATTATAAAAATTTTTGTTAGGCTTAACATCGACAAAAATTCAACGCGAAGCGACACACAATGGAGAAAAATTTCAACATGGGATAGGTTAATAATTTTTTCATACGTAATCGGTTATCCGAAAAATCCCAGTCCCCAATTGATTCGGATAAACGACATTCTACTGTATTAATCCAGCAATGCTTTATCAAATAGAAAATGAAATGGTCCAAAAATGCCAAATAGAAACAGTTGTGATGCCATGACATCATTCTCATTTTCTATTTAGCTATTGACTTGATTTCTGCATTCAACATCATACATAAAAACTAGACTTTTTCTTTGAAAATTGAATTCATTTTAAGAGAAAATAAGTTTTTAAGAAATCAAACAACAGAAATTAAACACTTATAGCAGGGGTCCCCAACCTTTTTGTACCTAAGAGCACATTCTAGAATACTGATCAGAAGGCGGGCACCATTTATTTTTTTCAAGGTAAATTTATAGTTGGGCATAGTTAATAATACATATACATAATGTACAAGAAAAAAAGAAAAACATTTAATTCAAAAAATGTAATTTAACATATAAAAATTATTAATATTCTTGTGTAAAATATGTAATTATTAAACAATGCATACAAAATCTACAAAGTATAAAAATTCTTTATAAAAAATATAAATCTCAAAGTCAATGTGATTTTTGGCATTGCATTTCATTGGCCATTGCTTCGTAATTAGGAGAATATGATGATATTCCTGCTCGTAAGCAATCGTCAAGGTGTTCATCTGTAAGTCGTGATCTGTACTTTGATTTTATGATATTCATTGTCGAAAACAATGATTCACACAAGTATGTGGAACCGAAAAATGACTTTATTTTATATGCTGCTCTTTTCAAGGATGGAAATTTGTTTCTTTCAACTATATTCCAGAAATTCTCATCTGATATAAAGGATTTTAGGACAATGTCGTTCTGAAGATCCAAAATTTCTATCTCCAGTTCTTCTGTCCTTACTTGAACAAGCTCTGAAATATATGTAGCTAGTTCAGTTACATTTACTTGGTAAGTAAAAGGATTGACAAAAAAGGTGACAATTGGCTCAATGATATTAAATTGTTGAAAGCGCTTTTCAAACTGGTCTTGAAGTAACTGAAGGTTGATAACAAATGTTGATAAGTCAATTTCACCATCGCCTATTATTTTTTTCATATTTGGGAAATGCACAAGGGACTTCATCTTCAGATGTGATATCCACAAAACCAGTTTAGCTTTAAATGAGTTTATAGACCCTATCATTGTAGCTATATGTTTGTCCTTTCCTTGCAGCTCTAAGTTTAAATAATTCAGTTTTTCCATTATGTCTGTGAAAAAAGCCAAATCCGCTAGCCAACGAGGGTCTGTTAGTTCAAAAAAATTTTGGTGTTTGGCATTGAGATAATTTTTTATTTCTTCAATTAAATTTACAAATCTAGCAAGAACTTTGCCTTTACTGAGCCAACGTACTTCAGTATGCAGAATGAGATCAGGATCTTCAGGATTTTCTAATAGGGCCTTGAAAAGGCGGTGTTGCAAAGGAGCTGCGCGAATTAAGTTGACTATTTTTGTAATTATTTTCATGACGTGTCCGAAGGGTAGTATTTTACCACACAAAACTTCCTGGTGGATAATACAGTGATACGACATAAAATTTGGAAATGATTTATCTTTTATGCAGAGGGCAATAAATCCATTGACATTACCAACCATTGCTGGTGCTCCGTCAGTGGTTATCGCAGACAACTTCTGGAGAGGCATATCTATCGACTTTGCATATGTTATAAATATTTTATAGATATCCTCACCTGTTGTTCGTCCTTTCATGGGTAATATTTTTAGTAGATCTTCTTTTACAGTAAAGTCACTAAATACCATTCTCACCATAACTGCTAACTGTGCTGT